TGCGCATAGACACCCATACTGCTGAGCCTAACGAGGAGTTCGTTCACCACGATACACCACAGTAGGGGTGATAGAACTCCGCCCTGAGGGCAGCCTCTAGCTACATTCACGCTGCAGCTTACGTTATTCAGCATAGCTGTTGTTACCCGACCCTCCAGAGTAGAGAGGACCCAATCTATTAGGATTGATCCAACCCCGTGTCTAACCAAGGCCTGTCTGATAGAGTCGGTTAAGGTGCAATTAAATGCACCTTCAATGTCCAAGAAGGCCACGAGTGCCACTTCTCGCTGATCCAGAGTCTTCTCCAGCCTACCGACCCGATTGTGTAATGCCAGATCCGTCGATTTTCCAGCTTGGTATGCAAACTGATTTGCATGAATGACACCTTTCCAGCGGGCCATCCCTTAAGTATCTATCAACTATCCTTTCCAGTGTCTTAAGCACAAAAGATGAAAGAGTAATCGGTCGAAAATCCTTCGGGCTAGTATATCTATCTCTGCCCGGTTTAGGAATGAATACCACTTTAGCCTGCCGCCAGCTTCTATGTGTGAAGCCCGTGGCCACACATGCTCGAAACACATTCAACAGGTAAGGAACAACCGAAATCCGTCCCTGCTGTAACATGGCCTGAAATACGCCGTCCAGACCTGGACTTTTGTATGGAGCAAACGAATCTACTGCCCATACCGTCCTTTCGAAGGTGACAATCTCCCTAGCCGTGCGCCAGTCCTCCCTCGAGGGCCTGCGCAACTGCATGCACTCTGTGATTGATCGCGCTACTGTAGAACCGGGAAAGTGCGTATCCATCAGAAGCCTCAGAGTACCTTCCACAGAAGTAGTATTCCCCCCCGAGGGATCATGCAGAGATCCCAATCTTGCTTTAATGTCTTTGCATAGGACTCTGTGTATTCTTGCAGTAGCAGGAATGTCATTTATGGACTGACAGAAGTGCCTCCAAGATTCTCTGGAGGCCTTTCTAATCTCTTTTTTGTACTCCTGCAATGCCTTTTTGTATTCTTCCCATAGAGAAGAACCTCTCCCGTGCTTAACTCTGCTAAGAAGTTTGTGCACCGCTCGTTTTCTATCCTCTAAATCTTTGGTCCAGAAGGTTGCCTTGCCCTTACGTTGGACTTTGCGTAACGGGCAGTTTTCCTCATATGCGGCCGTCAAGTCCCTGCTCAGAGACTCGACAGCTGCTTCTATGTCAGAGCCCCTGCAAAGCCTGTATGGGACCGCTCCAAGCTTACTGTCAATGTCTGCCCTAAAGGACCCCCATCTAGTATGCCTGGGATTCCGAGCATATTTATCCGGAATCTCTCCATCAGTCTTAAACAGTATGTACCTGTGATCCGATAGAGAGGGTGTTAGAGACATTTTCCAGTCCCTGATATCCTGAGCTAAGTTAAGCGTGCTCAGTGTTACGTCGATAACCTCTTCTCTTACGCTATTGCTGAAAGTGGGCATGTTACCGACATTCAGAACCTCAAGGTTCGATGCCCCTAGAAACTCCATCAGGTCTTCGCCCCGTCTGTTGATGTTCGAGCTGCCCCACGTAACGTGATGGGCATTGCTGTCGCATCCAATCACAAGGTCGAGTCCAGAATCCCTACAGAATGCGACAAGGTCCCCCATTTCCTTGGATGGAGGAGGGTCTCTTGAATCGTAAGGAAGGTAAGCCGAACATACAACCAAGTCCCTGTCACTGCCTTCCTTCTTATATCTAATTCTGACTGCAACTAAGTCTCTGAATGTAAATTCTTTAAGTTGCCATGAGTTGACGGAAGTCATTACGCAAGCTCTGGGCTTAGTGTCCGGAGTATCGCTAAAAAGCGTATAGCCCGGTACACTAAGCCCGTTTACTGAACCGTTTCTCAGCCAGGGTTCCTGGATGAGAGCCACTTCATGTCGGCCTCGAGTGATCTCCTGAGTAAGGGCCCTCGAAGCCGCTATGCAGTGTTGTAAGTTGATTTGAATGAAATTAAGACTTACCATGGGTGTTGAGAGGCCCTTCCTACACCTTCCCGAATGACGGTATGTGACCCCTATTCGGGCGTACCGCCGTCGCCGCCGCAGTCTTCACTGTCACAGCCGCCTTCATCTCCGCATCCACGGAGGAGTTCTCGGACTCGGTTCAGGATTCCGTCCTCGTCCGAGTCGCTATCATTTCCCTCTGGGACCAGATCCATCTCAGGGTCCGCCGCGATGTTTTCTGCGGATATCCCGCTTGGACCCGCCGCCTCCACGTCCGTAACCTCCGGTGGTTCCAGCGAGAGCTGACCCGGCCGACCCATCCCCTGTGAAGGAGCCTGGTCTACCGACACAGCTCCCGTCGGTCTGGGCTGGTCCGACTCCTGGTTTGGAGCCAGGCCAGTTCCAGCAGGTGTCGCCCCACTGCTTTTCTTCTTGCTCAGGAGTGTAAACACCCCCGAACTTCCACCGCAACACAGCCTGTTGCCGTTGCCTGCAATGACCTTCCAGCTTATGGAATCAACCGAGAGGACAAGTCGGACACCTTTGTTTTCTTCCTTCCTCTCAAGTATCCTCCACGCGCTGGAAAAAGTCCCAGGATTGTGCCTCCTGAGTCTCCTCGTGATGACCTCGTTGTCCAGGTTGGGACCCGGGAACCAGGCCATCACGCGGTGGTATGTGGGAAGGTCTCCAAAGCTCATCGTAATGAGTCTTGCGCCTTCCCACGGCCACAGATCCCCCACGTGAGCCTCCAACCATGCCCTAGAGGATTCGTCCTCGCAGACAAAGATGGCTGCCCCTCGAGAGAGGTAGCAGTCAATGTACCTGGGAAGGGCCGCCTCATCTGGGAGCCCATCTATCAGCACACTGACCGCCTCCTGGACCTGCTGCACCTGTAAGTCGGTAAGTTGAGTCCCAGGATAACCGTCGGAAACGACAGCCACCCTGAGACCCGCTTGGGACGCTCGCGCATAGCTAATTTGCGCATGCGTCGCAGTGCGAGGCTTCTTCCGCGAGGATGCGCCCTCCGGTGTCCCACCGGCAGACCTCTGCCGCTTCCCGTCGCCAGGCCGCTTTAGGGCCTCCGCTGACACACCGGATTGCGCACCGTCTAGCCCAGATGGCGGTTGGGTCCGTCCAGCCGGGGTCCCAGAAGTGGTGCCCCGACCTTCCGAGCCCTCCGTCATCTGCGCCTCTCTCCGCTTCCTAGCCCTTTTCCTTTCTGAACCTGGCCGAGACTTCTTCTTAATTTTTAGAGAGCCCACCCTTTCCGCTAGCTCTCTCGCTAAGCTTCTGACAGATTCCTCTGTCAGAGTACCATCAGGGTCCCCTGGTGAGGGGCCGCCTGGATGTTCGGGGTCCCCTGTAGGGGGGGCCTCGGGTTTTTTATTATTTTCATTGGGTTCCATATTGTTCCCACGAGTATAGGGGAAATGGTGGTCGACGTCCGCGGTGCCCCTACACGGACGCAAGGCTGGATACTCTGGGAGGTCGCCCGGTGTCCCAGAGGCTCCGTTTAAGACGGTGCATCCCCACCGCCACGCACCCCTCGGCACGGAATCGCTTAACACCTTGGGTTGGGTAAATGGATAAATGCAATCGTTTCTCAAGTTACACAATTATACAACAGAATAATGGACATAGTACAAGCTAAGTTCTAATGTTATGATGAAAAATAAGATGCAGCACAATTGTAAAAATTCTGAATCAGAGATGACAAAATGATAATGAAACCTAAGATAAACTCACCCTTCTCCAGCGTTGTCCATTCTTTGTAGCTCCAGTACCATGACCATTCATACATATTGCTAATTCGTCCCATTTTCTTTCAATTGTCTCTTTTGATCTTCCCCCAAGCCCAACACTACCCTTGGCTAAGCTAGGATGACTTTCTAAGAAGTCAAGTAACTCATCTATTTGCGATGCTGAGAGTCGATTTTCCATTTTGATAACACAAAAACCTCCTAGACAAAATCTCAAAGATAAATAAACCCTATATTAGGCGTATCTTTTAATTCACCGGTTGAGCCACGTGCAACCAATTAGCCAATTTTACTTCCTTTAATTGGTTGCACCTAAGTCTGTGTTTATATTAAGTGTGTCCTATCATTCCTTTTCCCGCGCCTACTCTTGACTATGTAAACATACACACATCTGTAGCTCACACTAAAAAGAAATGCATTGTCAAGAAAAGTAAATCGTATTATATACTTACGTATTCAGTTTCCAACACAACTAGGTCACAGTTAATTTTAAAATCCACAATCACGATCCACAATGTATTTATCATTCTTCGATTTGTAAACACGATTGTTTTATTGTTTACCATCGTATGTCACTTTATTAATTCCACCGGTTGCTACTCGACTGCATTCAATGACAGTTGGGCAACCGGTTGCCAATTTCGTTAGCGAATACGAATTTTTCGGTTGGTCGACAATCGGTCGCAAGTCGGTTGGTGGCCGGTTGCTCACCGATCAGAGTTGGAAATTTTTACGTAATAAGCCTGCGGGCTGGCCATCTTGATTTTTTAGGGGCTTTTAACAATTTTCCTTAAACTTAAATGTTCTTTCAATATATTCCAACGGTAGGTAGAGCGCGAAAAAAGTTATACACTTCATCAATCATTTCAAAAAACTGTCGGTTCTGATGCACACCCAGCCGCATGAACACCTACTAAACTTAGAGAATGTCCCGTGCATGGTACAAAGGTGGCAGTTCGCATTTCTCCTTGATTCTTGCTTGTAGGCCAGTATATTTTCCCGCCATATTTGAAGCATTGTCGTAGCTTTGTCCTTTATAATCTCTAATGGGAATATCATGACTCTCTAAAAGATTCAAGATGGTGTCAGCTATAAGCTCAGATTTCTGCTCTTTAATAGGTATAAATTTCAGAAATTTTTCAACAGGATCACGGCCTTTTACGTATCGAATAATAAAAGTTAGCCGGTCAACATGTGGCAAATCTGGTGTATTGTCCACGCTAAAGGAAAAACATTTTGCTAATTCAGTTTCACGCATAATTTTTTTAGGACCTGTTTTCGCATTACATCAATAAACTCATTACAAATATTCGTTGATAAATATGAAATGTTACCTTTTCGAGGATTCCCAAACTTCTTTGAATGAGCTGCAAGAAATGGATCAAATTCACTCAGTAACTCCATACATTGCAAATAATTTCCATTGTTGGGAGATCCTGGGATTTCATTGTCACCGCGAAACGGAAGCCCTCTCGAAGCCAAACATTTGACAACAGATACAATTATTTTAATAAGATTTCTTCAGTATTCCAATTCTTTTTGATATTGCGATGATAAATCTGTATCTATATATCTATAAATAGTACTGTTAGCGCCATCTGTTGGGAGAGTCTGTGACTCGCCAGAGCTTCATCGTCGATCTCTGCTTTTACGCGAACAAGCGGCTTGACGGCTTCTGTGAGGACCGTGGCAGTGACTCACCTTCTAGATGCCGCTTTGTGGTTCACCAGACCCTTCTCAAAGCAGCAATGGGGACTATATAAAACTCGGCGGCCGGGAGATGGAAGCAGAATACGGAGTGGAGTACAGTTCAGTCAATGCCGCGACATAAGAATTAGTCAGACATAAATAGTAGTGTATACAAATATTCTATCTAGCCAAGATAAATAAATTAGTGCATTTCTTTTCTTGGAATCTAGTGTTTTAATCCACATCCAAAAGAACCCAGGAAAACGCTACATTGGTGTTAGGTGTGGGGTGTGGATTATTGGACATTTAGTGAAAATAAATCGGACGATTAGTGAAGGAAGAATGGCGCGATTGGTAGATTTGAAAATTGCCGATTTAAAAAGAGAGCTGGAGGAAAGAGAGTACGACACGGCTGGAAAGAAAGCAGAATTACAGAAGCGGCTTCGCCAAGCACTGATTGAGGAAGGCAAGGACCCGTATAATTTCATTTTTTACCGGTGCAGGGGATATCGGTTCAATGCTGCAAAACCTTTTGACCAAGTTAGAAAATAGGCTCGTGGAAAATTGAGCCAACCTAGAAGGAAAACTGTTCGAAAGTACGGCCAAATTAGAAGACAAGGCTTTGGAAAATACTGCCAATTTAAAAAAAGAATTGGAAGACAAAATTATGGAAAAATCTTGCGAGCTGGAAAAACGGATTTCAGAAAATTTGGAAGGCAGAATTCAAGAAGTGCAAGGAGTTTGCCACTTTAGACGTCAAGACCATCAACAAATGACAACGTGGACTTCCGTTGAAAAAATCAAGTGAGGTTGGAGCTTCTGTAGGGTCAGCTGGTCATCAGCGAATGAAACGGCCGCAATTTGATGGTACAACGTCTTGGAATGTCTACTGACGTCAGTTTGAGACAGCCGCGAATGCAAATGGTTGGTCATCGACCGAAAAGGCAACTGCACTCACTTTGAACCTACGAGGAGATGCTGCAGCTATTCTTCAAAGAATATCACCCGAAGAGCACAGGTTTACGAACAACTAGTAGGACATTTGGAGATGCGATATGGCCAGTCACATTTAGAACATGTCTACCGTACTCAGCTAAAGAATTGGTTCCAGAAGTCAGGTGAGTCCTTGCAGGAGTTCGAAGCGGACATTGCGCGGTTGGTACGATAAGCATATCCCGATGTTCAGGAAAGGATAATGGAGCGATTGGAAGTTCAAGTATTATTCAAGCCTTACTAATAGCACATTCACCTAAGCTAGTAGATGCGCTTACCTAGGCCCTAGAATTCGAAGCCTTACGCCCGCAGTCAGATGGAATGGTGGAGCGCATGAATAGGACCTTCAACCGGTATCTGGCTAAGGTAGTCTCTAGCCATCAAAGAGACTGGGATAGTTTTCTTCACCTCTTCTTATTGGCTTACCGATCGTCGATTGATGAAAGCACAGGAGAGACCCCGGCTCGAACAGTTATGGGTAAGGACTTCGTCTCCCATGCGATCTAAAGTTTGTCTGTCCACCAGGAACTGATATTGCCGGAGAAGGCTACGTAAGTGAGCTGCGTAGAAGAATGGATGCCATCCATAGCCAGGTTCGTGTTTCAGTTCAAGGTGCCAGCGAACGGATGAAGGAAGCTTATGACGTTAATGCCAAAGACCAGAGGTATGATAACGGCGATACGGTTTGGCTTTGCAACCCAAAGAGGCGAAAAGGGCTTGTCGCCTAAACTAGAATCATCCTGGGACGGGCCATATAAGTTCTGGAGGCCATCAACGATGTTCTCTACAGGATTCAGAAGGTATCACGCGGTAAAGCCCGAATTGTACATTTGAACCGCCTTGCACCTTATGATTGAAACAACGAAGATGCGGCGGTGCGGAAAATCCAACCAGAATCGGACATGACATTTTATGGCTCATAGTGCCAGTGGCCATAAGAGTTGGTATGGCGTGACATGTGAAGTACAGCAAGATCTGTTTACCACTTGACTAGAGTATGCCCTTGCACACCGCGTGGCTCAAGACTTGCGAAAGTCTTTCTTAGGAAGTTTAGAAGAGTGCACGAGCTGCGACAATCTGACTCGGAGGTCGGAGAAGTACTCCAGATAACTGAAGAGGATACCAACTGAAAGATCTTCTATCTGGTTACCAAGAAAGCTTCGTATCCGAAAGCGAATTACGAAGATGTTTGGAACGCTTTGCCGAGGACCTGAGAAAACTGGCAATACCTAAGCTGGCATGTGGACTGGAGAATCATTCAAAGCATGCTTGATGTAGTCTTCCGGTATACAGTCATTCGATTTCTGGTATGTTGACACAGTCCTAGATGGCTACCTCCTGGAAAGACCGTGGATTGTTACTTCTTCAAGAACTTCTACTGCAAGAGAGGGCCGTCGTGCCGATATCAACATCCACTGCCAGTAAGATCATTCCGAGACGGCATGACCTTCGGGAGGGGGCAGTGTGACGACAAATAGTACTGTTAGCGCCATTTGTTGGGAGAGTCTCTTACTCGCCAGAGCTTCATGGCCGACCTCTGCTTTTACGCGAACCACGACCGCACAAGCCGCTTGGCGGCGTTTGCGAGGACCGTGGCAGTGACTCACCTTCTAGATCGACGCGCAGTGACCTGCAATATTCTAGATGCCAAACAGCAATGGAGACTATATATAACCTGGCGGCTGGTAGAGATGGAAGCAGAGTACGGAGAATGGTAGAGTAGCAGCGACATAAAAATTAAATAGTGGTGTAAATTTTTTTTAAACAATTTATTACAAAAATAGAGTATTACAAAATATAATAACATTCAATTCTCTAAACAGTGCTTCAAAAGTACTGGCATCGAGAATAACATTCTAAATGTCCTTATTACTAAGTACAATAATCAACAATATTTAACTATAAATACAATGTGTTATTTGCTGCGAATATGATCTTTTAATTTCTTTACAAAACAGTTAAAGCTATTGTTACTGCTTTTTATGCTATTTGGCAATTTATTGTATGCATTTCATGCTTGCGATATGGGATTATTGAAACCTATGGCAGTACTAATATTATACATGTAGACATACATATGTGTTCTAGTATTATATTTGTGTATGTCATTTGTAAATTGAATCTCAGTATTGCACTTTAGGGCTTTAGTAATTACTTTATGAATAAATTTACAGTGTTCTAGCTCAAAAAGCTGATTTAAGTTAAAGATGTTCAATTCCTTGTACAGCTCAAGTGTATGTGTAAACCAATCCAGATTGAATAAAACCTTCAATGCCTGAAGCTAGCTATTGTTATTCCCGTATACAAAAAGGGTGACCGTACAGACCTTGAAAACTACAGACCAATATCACTTTTATCGATGATCTCTAAAGTCATTGAAAAATGTCTGTATAAACGTATATTATGTTTTCTCAATCGCTATAATGTCTTATCAGATACCCAGCGTGGGTTTAGACCCTCACGATCTATAGAAACGGCGACCTTTGACTTTTTTCCCATATATATAGAGAAGTAGATGAAAACAGATACGTTGCTGGACTATTTTTTGACCTTTCGAAAGCATTCGATATAATGGATATTTCGTTTATCGTGGAAAAATTGTACTGCTTAGGTATAAGGGATTTTATTCTCAGCTGGATCCAGTCTATCCTCACAGATAGAAAATTGAAAACGAAGGTCAATGGTCATACGTCAACTCAATATTCCGTGAATATAGGTGCGGCACAAGGCTCAGTACTTGCACCACTGCTCTTCATTGTATACATAAATGACTTGAAATTGTCTGGCTTCATGATTAATTATGCGGATGACACATCTATCGTCGTCAGTGCCACGACACCGCAGGGTCTTCTCGAATCTATTGAGAAAGTCAAAAGTGAAATGAGCAAGTGGTGCCAGTCTAACCGCCTCATTTTGAATGAAGATAAGACTGTTGAAATTCATTTCTTCAACAAAAAACCACGCATGGATATTGATAGCTTTTCAGATCAAACTGTCTTCTTAGGAACTCATGTTGATAGTAAGTTAAGCTGGCAACCACAAATAAATCACATTTGCAACAAAATTAACAGTGCTTATTTTGCAATATTGAAATTAAAGCCTAACATCCATCTAAACTCACTCTTAGATATGTATTACGCGCTAGTTTATTGTCACCTCACTAACAATATAATCATATGGGGACAGGCAACAATGAATAACAGATTATTCATCCTGCAGAAAAGAGTACTTCGATTAATCTTTAATATTAATAAGAGGGACTCTTGTAAAGAAATATTTAGACGCTATAATCTGCTTACATTAACTTCTATCTATATCTACAAATGTGCTATCTTCGCATTTGAACATAGCAATAGATTTGTTCGTAACAACTCCATTAATAATCAATACAACACTAGAACAGGGCATGGTCTGAGTATACCGACACATAACTCTGCCCTATTCCAAAAATCTCCCACTCTAGCGTGCACTAAGGTATACACTAATCTGCCGAGTGAGTTGCGAAGAAGCACTAATATCCTTGCGCTGAAAAAACATCTCAGGAAATATCTGGTTGAAAAATGCTTTTACTCTCTACATGAGTTTTACTAACACATGAAAGTATCTGTTTTTTAAATTCTTTTAAGCTGTTAATCATTTCGTTATCAGTGAATTGTCTATTATCGTGGAGTAAATGTATTTTAATTTCACTTTTAATTCGAGTTTTGACGAAAGTATGTATGTTTTCTTTTTAAGCTTTTAACCATTTGTCCTCACTGCTCGATGTTTGTTGTGTTTATTTATTATGTATTTCTAACAGATTCTCCTACCTCTTTTCTTTGTATCAGCCTCAATGATTTTTAAGGGCTAGACGAACATTTTTTGTGATAAAAAAGTCGCTGTATATGTATATATTTTTACCGTTACAGATTGAACACATTACGATTCTTGAGCTGTACTTATAATGTGATTTAACCTTTTAAAATGTTTTGTAATTGTAACCCTTTCAAGGCATATTTCTAAATTTTTAAGCTATTTCATTTATAGCTGAAAAAAATGAAGTGATAAGATCTCAAAAGCATTAAAAATAGCCCAGAAAATTTTTCCATTTGGAGAAAAAAGAATTAGTAGGTGGTATCACCATTATACCACCAAGCACTAAAATAATACAATGCAGATATTACTGAAACATATATTTAATTAAGATAATGTTATAAAAAGGAGTTTGAAGTAAAAACATACAATTTATTTGCTATGATACTTTTCAAAGCAATTTTTTTGGTCAGTGACACAAACCGACATTGCAAGTACTGCATGACCATCGCGTACGGTGTTGTTCCGCTTTTGTGCTGCAAAATGCACATCTTCTCGAAGACGAATGTCTTGGCATATGAGCAGCTTGGTCTGTGCACTTTTCTAGAGGAATGTTTGCTTTGAATTTGTTTGGGGGCATCTCAGTACTTGGTCTACCTCTTCGAGGATTTTCAGAAGCTGCACCAACCAATCCAGTTGCTACACTCAAACGAAAACTTTTCAAATCTAAGGATTTTTCCTTACACCTTTCAGTGTATAGAATATATGCATTGACTATGGTGACATCAACAAAATGCCACATAATCCTGTGCCACCATTTTCGACTTTTTCTATCTAGTTCATAGGTTGATTTTAGCATATCAGCTTTATCCACATATCCCATGTTTGCATTGTAGTCCTTTATAATAACAGGGCATGCAATCGTTTCTCTCTCTCCACCCTTTTTCTTTCTCTCAACCGTCTCTATTATTCCCGGCATGTGAAAATTACTTGCCATTGCAACTACTCTTTTATCCTTCCATTTGCAAAATGTAATCCCATCATCTGTTACTCGAAAGTCACTCTCGCCTCGTTTCAATGCTTTGTCTTCTTTTACATCAGTTGGTATTCCTACACGATTTTGCCTAATTGTTCCACAGGCATATATTTTATCTAACTTCAGTTGCCGCAAAAGCATTAAAGAGGTAAAATAGTTATCAAAATAGACAAAATGATGACCATTCACTAATGATCTTGTAAGGTCAGTTACCACCCTGGCACCCAATTTTTTTCTCCAATTTTTCCCGTATAAATTTGAAAATGATTCACATATCCACTCTCCGATGCTCTAACCCACAATTTATACCCACGCTTGATCGGTTTATTCGGCATATGCTGGCGCAGGGAAACGTTTTTGGTTGGTTTATAATATTTCGCATAATTTTCTGATAGAATCTGTAGAATAGGACGGACTTTGTATAACTTATCGTATAGGGGCTCTCCGCGTTTGGGCTGCATTACGTTATCATTCAAATGAACGTTTCCTAACAACCAATCAAATCTTGTTCTGGGTATAAGACTTGAAATATATTTATCCCGAAGCTCAATCTGCGTCGACCAGAAGTCCCGATAAGAGGGTAGACGCTTTATTCCCATGAGTATATTTATCGCAACAAATTTCTTCATTTCCATTGTATTCGTGGGTGTGAAAAGTTTTCCGGAACGGGCGCTTGCTTGTGTTGCATACAGGTTGGTTTGGAAGACGATGTGGTAAAACAAACTATCCGGAAAAGGACACAAAAATACCTCAACAGGGCGCTCCATGTCATCTGATATATTGCAAGGTCCAGAATCCTTGGTAAATTCTTGGGGTGCCGTGTAGTTTGTTGAAACTTTTTCCCAAACAAATTTATCTAAACTGAGTTTTTTCTGCAAATCTGCAAGGGGTATGAGGTCATCGTCGCTATAAGAACTATCACTATCAGAGACCCTCTCAGGGTGAATACCAACATCATTATTTGTATTAGTGGCGTTGTGCACATCCACATCCACGAAGTCTTCATCTGACCAATTTTGATCATCCTCCGATTCATTTCCTGAAGGTATGTCCTCAAAAAATATATTCCTGTACTCTTCATAGGTCATATTTTCCAATTCTTTGTAAGACCACTTTTTCCCTGAAACAAAATCCCCAATCAATTAGTCACTATCCACGTAAGCAGCTAACTTAGTAAAATAATTGGATCAAAAACAAAAGTACACCCACCAATAAACAAACATACCAACAACATACAAGTAGCCCACCAACCAATAGTCTAAATAGTTTTTCCATCGACTTCCATCCCGCCGCAAACTTCAGAATTACCGAACTCACGGCAGATCAACTAACCCAGCAAAACAACCAAGTTACTCAAAAACAGAAAAATACGCCTACTAATTACACAAACACACTGACAAGCATACAAAGCAAAAATCCAAAATCACCGAAAATATTAGGCATTGATTGCTATGTGGTATCAATTGACACCACCTTAATTTTATTCAAAGCAACCAATAAAAATATATAAAATCGCGTGTGCCTATGATAATAACATAAAACAATACCTAATACAATAAAATATAGTACTTACCCGCCATTCTGTCCTTATTTTTTGAAATAAACACTCAATTTATGACCACGCACGTCATTGACCTACCTGCACACTGCGAAAACAAATCGATAAATGTCAAATAATAAGCTGCTAGGAATGGCGTCCTATGTAAATAATTTTTTTCATATTAGTTGGCAATATAGTGCTACTTCTTACACGGTGGTATCGGCAGATAACCACTCCGCAGCGCCGTGATTAATTATTAAAAAGTTGGTTTCATGGTGACACCACAAAGCTTGAAAGGGGTAATGTCCTTATTTATTTTATAATTATAAGTATATATATATATATATTGACAAGTCTTATATCATGTAACATGATCTAATAGGACAATAAACGATCTATCTATCTATCTATCTATCTGATTTTGAACCCTTTGTACTTTATTATAATTTACCTTCCCACAAGTAGCCCATACAGGAAGAAGTTACATAAGACATGATAAAAAATAAGCATTGTAAATATCATACTTGACTTTAATTGTAAAAAATGATCTATTTTTATATAGGGCACCAATCATTGAAGTGATTTTTTTTATTTCATTGTGAACATGTTCATTCCAGTTTAAATTCTCGTCGACCATTAACCCTAAATATTTTATACAGGTAGTCTGTGCTAAACTTACATCATTAATTTTGATCTTTGGTACAACTATACTTTTATTTTTCTGCTTGAACAGCATAAACTTTGTTTTATCTACATTCATCCTGAACTTGTTATATAACAGCCATTTATAGTACACATCTAAATCATTATTTATCACAGTTTCCAAGCTTACTTTACTATCTCCTGAATATAACAATACAGTATCATCTGCAAAGGTAAAATAGTCACAATTAAGATTAGCACAACGCAAACTTAAAACATAAAGAGAATATAAAAGAGGTCCCAAGACAGAACCTTGAGGTACACCATAAGGATTTGATAGATACGGACTGTTGTTATTACCTATTTTGACATATTGCTTTCTATCGACTAGATGTGATTCCAATAAATTATATAATGCTCCTATAAATCCCATACCTCTAAGCCTTTGTAGCAACATATTAAAACTTACTACATCAAATGCCTTGCTAAGGTCTACAAATACTGCAATTACAACTTTCCTATTATCTAATGCCGTTGCTATTTTATTTACAAGATCCATGGTTACACTCAATGTGTAAAAAACCATACTGAAATTTGTCCATGGTGATGTATTTATTTATAAACGCTAACATTCTGTTCTTTATTATAAGTTCTATTATTTTTGAAAGTACACTAATCACTGAGATTGGCCTGTAGTTGTTCATCAAAGCTTTATGGCCTGATTTGAATATCGGAGTAATTTTACTTATTTTGAGAATATCTGGAAAAATGCCACTAGTAGGCACACTATTAACCAAATTCATTAACACATCTACAAGATATTCTTTCAGGTTCAATAAATCTCTAACAGTGATCTGGTCATGACCAGGAGCAGATGTTTTCTTGAGGTCCCTAAGTATGTCCAAAATTTCTGTTCTGTTTGTTTTTTCAGTGAAGCAGCTATTACCACAGTGAATTTCATCAAACTTAGAATTTGCACCAATACTTTGTCGACTGATGTCTATATTAGAAACTATGTTTTTACCAACCTCTGCAAAATGTTTGTTCAGCTCATTTACTATAGCGACTGGATCCGTAATGGTAATGTTGCTCACTGTAAGGGATTCAATACTTGTTTCATCATCTGTTTTTTTGAGCATGCTATTTACTAGTTTCCACTGCTTTTTTGAACTCTTACCAGCTTCGTTCCATTTCTTTCTAAAGCGATCATTTTTGAGGACTTTCATTTTGTTGTTGATTTTATTTTTGATCTTTTGAATTCAGATTCTGTAACTGCATCTTTGGGGTTAAGCTTCATTCTCTTATAAAGTTTATCCCGAAACGTTATCATTTCTAATAATTCCTTTGTAATCCAGGTATTATGCTTATGGCATTTAATTAATGTAGTATATTCAGACTCTGCCTTACATTGACTAATCAGATCAATAAGTTGCTCAAAACACTCTATATTAACTGCATTAATTTGGTCTCCAAACAATTGGACCATCTTTTTGTAATCAGTATGTTTCATCGTGTTTTGCTATTTTCATGGGTTAAAATTATTTGATGAATGTGCTTTCAGTCAATCCATCCATTTGGAGAGCATAGATTTAAATCGAAAGGATTAAATAAGCAGCATGAAAAACGAAATACTGATTTTTTTGTCATTTTTGACGTTTTCATTGTTCTTTAATTTGCGAATAAATAATGCTTTGTTGAAATATCTAGTTACTGATCTAACACCATCTTATAGATTCTGGATGCCACAGAGAAATCAGAATCTTTATTTTGAAAATATTCAGTTTCCTTTCGTGATCTCTTTCTGTAAAATTTTCATGAGAATGATCGGCAGGGCCGTGTGATTGGATGATTGTTCAAGTGATAAAGTTAGCGGTGTTGGTAAAGTCCCGAAGTTGTTGCACTTTCATCATAGGTACGATCGCTTTCTATCTCTTTTCCAAAATTGGTAGAAACTGATATAGAACATGATGCTACTTCTGATTGTCACGACTCATTATTTGGAGAAAATATTGTTCGATTGCTACTTACAGAACGCTCTCCAGTAGAAAAATGTTGATGTTAATTTTGGTAACTTTTCAATTACTCCCTTCTGGTGTGCAGCTATTTTCTTTTGACAGATCCACTAGAATACGATTGTTTTGACATTTTTTACTGTAATTTAGTGTTTATATTTACACACAAAATAATCACTTAAACCAGCGTTTTGCAACGTGTGGGTCGCGAAACCTCTGCAGGGTGGTCGGATAGATCGGGAGAACTACCTCAGTAAAAAAATCAATAAAGTTTAAAAGGATAGATTTATGTTTTTGATTGATCAGTTTCTCCCATCGTGGATCCATTTTTGCTACATTGAGAATTAAATCGTTTTGCAAATTTAAGCGATTTCTTTGCTTGGGCATTGATAAAAATGTTAACTGGCACAAATACGAGGTGGCAAATGGAATCAAACGCTCCAAAGCTTCAGTTGTCAATTTCGGATATTCTTTTTTCTTTTTAACCAAAATGTATCCACATTGGGCAACTTGAATTACAACTGTAACATTCCATCTGCAGATCATTCCAGCAGATTTTCTTTGAACTTAGTTGCCAAATTTGCCTCATTTATAGCTGCAGTTAAAAATGACCCACCTTTTCTCAGTGTTCTCCGATATTTCTTGCACAGGGGAGAAATCACACAATTCTCCTTTCAAATTATTTCACACCATTTTCATACATAAATATGTATACATATATACATGATGGCCCATCCATGTGTGGACGGAATATTACTCATAAACAAATACATTTTGGGAAAATCTATTTATGGGATGATATAACGTACATGACATTTAAGGGCACATTTCTAAAATGTTGGCCATTATACAGGGTGTCCCAATTTCGACTTAATATCATAGTTGTGATTTTTTAAATGGAATGCGTCAAATTTTATTTCATATTTGGATAAACCAATTCAAAAGAAGACAACTGATATAACATACTATGGGGTTTTGGTAATTAGCTACTGAGATGTAAGGTGTTTTGCCCAGAAAAACCGTCCACTTCGACAACTCCTCAATCCGCCATTTTGAAATTTGGAGTGCTGAATTTTATATCAAACAAAACTTACACACCTCAGCTTTTATCCTATTTGTTACTTTTTCGAATTTTCATTTTTGCTCATACAGGGTGGTCAGAAACGCAAATTGTACTTTTTCTCGAAAATTTCAAATGCATTACCCTATATATTTGTGCAAGTTTGGATTCCATTTTTTCTAAGCTTTTTTTGGTATGAGGTTTGATTCAAATAAAATCACTAGATTTTGAGTGATTAAGATTTGAATAGAACAACACACCAAAATTAAAGAAAAAAAATCACAGCATCCATGGAAACAAAAGACAGTGGGCTAGTTCCATATTGCCAATAAGAGTACAGATTTGACGTGAAAACTAATAACAATCAAAACAGCATGAATCAGCTTCAAGCGTAATAGAGAAAAACAACTATAACAACAACATGAACAAACAACTATCACTAATTGTCTAGAAAAACCCCGCTCGTCGGCAACCCCTCAGTCCGCCATTTTAAAACTCGGAGTACTGAATTTTGTATCAAAAAAAACTTACACACCTCAGCTTTTATTTTCTTTGTTACTTTTTCGCATTTTAATTTTTGCTCATACAGGGTGGTCAAAAACGCAAATTGTAGTTTTTCTCAAAAATTTCAAATGCATCACCCAGTATATTTGTGCAAGTTTGGATTCAATTTTTTTTTATACTAGACACATAAGGGTTTTTACGGCTATTTTTTCGGTTATTAGCACGTCTTTTATGGAACGGCTTAATTCCCTAAAATATCGCATCATCATTGGAAACACAATAAATTGGTGATTAGTCACGAACTGTCAAAATTAACATTGTGAGCATTATAATAAAAACGTGTTTGAGAATGAATTTTTCTAAAGAAGAAATGGTTAATATGGGGTTCGTGTTGGGCGAAGCCCAAAGAAATAGTTTCCTAGCATCTCGCATTTATAAGCAACTAATATGCGACATCCACGACTGGAAACATTTTCCACACTACGAGAACGATTTGAATCAAGTGGAGCAGTGGGATATAGTAAAAAATGTATAAATAATCTCCAAGTGTCACCAATGAGGTGAACCAGTTGGAGGTTCTATTAAAGTTGCAGGAACGTCCCCATTCAAGTGCACGCAAATTGGAGCAGAAACTGATATATTCAGAACTTCTGTGTCGGTCATTTATCCAAAGACTACGGCTGTGTATTCAGCATGGTGGAGATATTTTTGAGCAGTTTTGATTAGTGATAGTTGTTCATGTTGTTGTTATAGTTGTTTTTCTGTATTACGCTTGAAGCTGATTCATACTGTTTTGATTGTTATTAGTTTTCACGTCAAATCTGTACTCTTAGTGCAATATGGAACTAGCCCACTGTTTGTCTTTTGTTTCCATGGATGCTGTGATTTTTTTTCTTTAATTTTGGTGTGTTGTTCTATGAAAATCTTAATCACTCAAAATCTAGTTATTTTATTTGAATCAAACCTCATACCAAAAGA